GCCAGGTGCGTGTGCATGCGTGCCCAGGATCCCAAGAGGAGAATGGAGGAGAAGGGATTGCAGCGGCGTGACCATCCCCCCTGGGGGGGGATTTCTTGCCTTCTGTCTCTATGTCTGTCTCTGTCTGTCTCGCTAACGCACGTGCCCTATAGTGAAAAACCTCTCCAAAAAAAAGAAAAGAAAAAAAAAAAGAAAGAAATCTCTCTTAAGATTGTTTTTAAAAAAACATTTGGGCTACAGGGCACATGTGGTCACCAGAGAGATAGTGAAAGACAGAGAGAGAGAAAGCAAGAAGTCACTCCCCAGGGGGGATAGCCACACCACAGTCCCTTCTCTGCCATTCTCCTTTTTAAAAAGGTCACGGTAAGCAGAAGGGCATAACACTGGCACAAGAATAACATTCAGAAATCCAGCTGAACTGAGCGTCGAAGCAGAACGTCCCACGACCACTGACGTAGGCAGAACAGGCAGCTGGTTCAAAGGCAACAGGTCGGCACACGGTAAACAGTCACTGGAGAGACAGACAGAGACAGAAAGACAGAGAGAAATCACCCCCGGGGGGATCTCAGGCATGCTCGCACATGTGCCCAGCATTTGTTTCAAGCTGCCAGGTCCGGGACTCAAACCGCTGCTGACCATGTGGGAGTCCAACGATGTAACCATTATGACACCTGCTGGTCCCACCATCAATCAAGACTTTTAGGAACAAAAGACAAAACAGATTTATCATCTCAGATTGGTGAGGCCATTTTCCCCTATATTTCCTTTTTCTCCTTCTAGAAACATTTACGGGCACCCAGGAGTACAGGGAGCTGCCGTCCTCCCCCTCAGCCTTGTCCACAGCGTGCGCCTCCAGACGGGAGCGCTGACCCATGAAGGACTCGGCACAGACTCGGAGCGGATGCCGACGCTGACACCAAGAACTCTGCCGGCACAGTGCTCAGGAGCCGCGACACACACTGGGGGGCGGCGCGGCCGGCTGCCTGACACACGTGTGCCGTGCACCCTCTGAGTCCTCGTGAAGGCGACACGCGCACCAGCTCTCAGACTGGAGCACGTGAAGACCCTCAGCCTCCCGGGTGACCAAGGGAATGAAACTAAAACCACACGGGACTCAGTGCCAGTGTCACCAGACAGAAAGAATGTGGAACAGACGGATGGCCCCTGCGCACGTGCTGGGCATAAACCAGGCGCCGGCCAGCATGCCACTCCCAACACACTGGGTGTGTGTGGCCGTGCACGGAAGCGCCGTCTGCAGCGGGCAGCTACAGGAGGGTGAGCGTGTGTCCACGGCGGCAGGAAATGAGCCACACAGAGAAAGGGGCCCACGGACACCAACACTGAGCTAACAAGCGGAGGATGTGAGCTGTATGGATCCATGTAAAAGACGAATAAAAGCACCCAGAGACACAGACGTGGCAAGTGGGTAACAACCGCAAGGGAACAGTTAAAAGCGAGTGGCGGGGAGGGGCTGCCAGGGAGTGCACAGCAGAGGCGGTGATGGCCCTGATGTCCGCGGGCATGGGCACTGTAGCTCCACAGCTGCACCGTCTTTCCGTTTTGTTTTACTTTTAAAAAAGCATTTATTTACTCTCTTAGTTACTTGTTTGTTCTGATTTTTCTAGTCGCCCAGTCTGAGACTTGAACCACAGTCAGCCATGTGGAAACCCAGCACCTTGACCACCACACAAACTGTTGGCCCCTGTCCCTTCCATTGTTATAGTCACAAATCCTGCAGTGGTGAGCTTCTGCCATCTAAAGACTGAAGCCTAAAGCCGAGCTGGTGGAAGGCCCCAGCACCCAGGCCCAGCACTGGCGCCCCTCGACGCAAGCTCAGCACCCTCAGGGAGCCAACCATACTCCTCTGCCTCTGGAGGGTACTGCATCCTCCCACCCCGGGACCTCCACCGCCGTCCCACGCCGTCCCACCCCGGGACCTCTGCATGCATCTCTGCTGCCCGGAACATGCGCCCCACACCAGCACTTTACTGAATTCCTACTAAGTCTTTGAACCCCGCCTTCAATATAAATATAATCCATTTCTAGAAAAAGGCCACACACTAATTTAAGCATGTATTAGTTCAACAGAGATGGTCCTCCTTGAGCTTGGGCGTGTGTCCTCTCGCCAGCCTGGACGTGTGCCTGTGAGGGCAGTGATGACAGCTGCCTCATCACCACACGGCCCAGCACCCAACACGTGCCCACCATAGAATGAATAAATCCATGAGATCTTTACTTTTCCAAAAATAATTCAGAGACTGTTTTTCTGAGCAGTTTGTAAGTGAAAAGAACATGACCTGCACGGTGTGACTGGTGAGCCAGTATTGACACGTCATGACTGACTGACGCCTAGTCGACACCAGGCTGCACTGCTGCCAAGAGGGCTCCGTGGCAAGCCCAAGCCGCTTCGTCTAGACCCTCCACTCAGGTCTGGTCTTCACCTTCTTATCACATAAGGTTCTGACTTCTGCCCACAAGTCACAAGCATTGGAAATACCGCACAGAAAGACTTATAGGGAGGGATCAGCAGTTAGCATAATGGCTATGTTGCTGGACTCCCATGTAGTTGACTGCGGTTCAAGTCCTGGACCCAGTGGCTTAAACTCATGCTAGGCGTGTGCATGTGTGCCCAAGATCCTGAGAGGAGAATGGAGGAAAAGGGATTGTGGCATGGCCATCCCCTCTGGGGGGGTGATTTCTCGCTTTCTGTCTCTCTGTCTGTCTCTGTCTGTCTGGCGAGTGCACAACGTGCCCTATAGCAAAAACCTCTCCAAAAAAAATAAATAAATAAAAGAAAGATTTGTAGGGAGTAACCTAGAACCTGCATGAAAACATCACTCTAAACATCCGCAATTCTTTTCCGACTATACACTCCTGGAGAGTGGAGCTGAAAACGAAGCAGAGCTAAGAGCGACCTTCAACAGTGAAACACTGACCTACAAGGTACAGAATGACCTAGTAAGAGCATGAGAGCACTGGGCAGAACACTACACATTTCTAAGACGCTCACACTTCAAATGTCACCCAAAACGCGCTTTGCCTATTCCAAACCTCTTCAGGATTGGAAGATGCTAATGTTAAATGCAACCGCTGAACCAGGCCTGTCTGCGGATGCTGAGTGGCGATGACTAAACGACACTGCCTTGGGGACTGTCCACAGGGACGCGGGGAGGACTCCCAGGCTCCCTGGCCATTCTCCACACTCCTCAGTGCCCTCCTGGGCCCTCCTGCCACACTGATACCAAGCGCAGCCTCTGCTGCTGGACCAGCAGTGAGGACCTCCAACCGTGAGGACCTCCTTCCACACCTGCCCACGGACCCCATTCTGATGGGCAGAGGTGCTGGGCCCAGATGCGAAGGCCAGTGCCACAAGTACGCTTCCCACCACAACTGGGCTCCAGCACACCCCGCCTCAGCTGAGGGGTCAGAGTGTAACGACAAGCATCGCCCCGCTGCAGACCCCACCCACACCATTCCCGACAGCAGCAGTGGACACTTTACACCCGCTTTACACCCGACCTATGCAGGGAGGAGACCAGTTCCCTTAGCCAAGCACTGACCCAGTAGGGACACAGAGTGCGGGGAACACTTGGGCCCGGGTATTCCACGTCTCACATTCTTGGGGTGAGAGGGGGAAGAAAAGCCACCACCGAGTGTGCAGAGACAGAACAGCCCACTGGCAGGTTTAGACAGGCTGGTGAAGAAAGGCCTCAGAGAGGTGACCCAGACACAGATGGTGGGGAAACAAGTCCCCTCAGCACAGAGGCCCCAGGCAGGAGCCAGCTGGGCCCATTCAAGGCAAGGGAAGAGGTCTGAGTAGCTCAGAGCCCTCTGGGGGGCCAGCAGGAGCCGGACCCAAGGGGAAGGAGAGGTGCGTTCCGAGTGTGACGTCACACTGACAGAAGACCGTCAAGGCGGGAGCAGCAGGGTCCAGCTTACACTCCGAGCCTTACTCTGGCTACAGGAGGAAGACCACTCGTGAGGGGTGCAGGGAGGGCCAAGTGCCCGTCAAGAGGCTGCAGCCGTCTGCTGCCCTGGCCATGGAAGCCCAGGCCAGATGGCCAGGCCGCCCTGGCCTCCACCCAGGCCCAGGTCCAGGCCTGCCACCCCTGCCTCCATAGGACACAGCACCAGTACAGGCCATGCTTCCTGTCCACCCACCCAAACACGGATACCTGCGACTGGTGCCAGCCTCTGACCCAGGCACCCCTGGTGCCCTGCACACGGCACACAACAGGCGTCCTCCATGAGGACACGGGGTGGGGTTGCCACAGCCGGGCCGCTCACAGACACGGTCAGCCTCAGCCCAGCCTTCTGGGACCAGTCACACGGCTGATTTTCTTAAGAGTCTCTTGAATGTGTCTTCTGTTGTCAACAGCTTGTATAAAGCAAAAAACAGAATCTAAACCACCTGTGGAGTCTAATTTCCCCTATTTCTGCTCTGGACTACGACACGTAAGGGAAAAATCTGACTCGGGAATAGGGTGGTGCTCACAGCCCCCAGGAGACACTCATGCTGTAACCAGGCTCTAAGCCACCAGCCAGCCAGTCATTATTTTCATTCCCCGGTCTCATATCTCTGGATTAAATGTGATCTTTGGCCAAAATAAACAAACCAAAAACAACAAGCAAAGGCAACCGAGGAGGACCTCCAAACATGCTGGGCGGAAGTTGCCTGCAGACCTGGAAGCTGCGTCCTCGGGGATGCTCGTATGCAGAAGAGGCAGCTTCAGAGCCCCCAATCAGCCTCCACTCGGCCTGCCTGTCGCCTCAGCCCCTGCTTTTCTGCTTCACCCCAATAACTCTTTCAGGTTTTCTCTTGGCCCTCGACCTTTTCGGGGATTACCATGGAGTCTGCCCAGGACTTTGGCTACGCCTCTTTGTAGTACTGGAGAAAATCATGTTTCAAAAGAATAAGCCTACGAAATCATACGGTGAATACTTAAAGCTCTTTGGACTATCACGTGGTCAGTGCTGACCAGAGGCCTTTATGTACTTACCTAAGTAATGCGCTGGATGAAATGACATAGGCTTACTAGTCGCTGAGTAATATCCAATGGCTCTCTTAAATCGAATAACTTTGTCATCTGTTCTAGACTGAAATAAATGTAGGAGAACCTTTGTAAGTTAATATGCCACTGTTCATGTGTATTAACGCATTTTTATAATTTAGCACACGTAGCTTTTCAAGTTAGATAAGAATTTGGAATGACATTAAAACCCCCAGGGAGAAATGAGATTATGATGAAGAATCAATCCAGACATTAGTTCTTTACAGCAGTGTAGGCAGAAGAGCAGTTTGCACACTGTCGGGACCTGGGTGCCAGCTCTGTGGCTTGGCCTCCCCTGCGTGGCCTGTGATCGTGCCCAGAGGGGTCTACGTGCCATATGCAGCAGGTGGGACGAGTAACAGTGGGCACTGGGGGATGTGCCTACCCTGTTCAGCTCTCTACACAAAACGAGGGACCTCAGAAACTCACTGGTGCCCCTAAGGGACTGTCTGCATGCTTTACTTCATAAAAAAAGAAGCCCCTCCCTGAGGAACAGACAAATCACTGATCCATAATAACATCTGGGCAATCTGATTCTAAGTTTGTCTGAAAACTCTGAAATGCAGACCCTACTAACACAGAGGAAAGAGATTCGCACCAGCTACCTTCACTTCCCTCCTCCTGCTCAGGCTGGAGGGAGGCGAGAAACGTGACGTGAACTGGTAAGACTCGCAGGCCGCAAGGCCAGGCTGCCTCCGGCCACAGGCCCAAAGCTGAGGGCTGCCAAGCAAGAGCTGGCAGCCCATCATCAGCTTGCGCCTCTCTAGCCCCCTCCCAGACCGGCCTCGCCACCTGCGCAGAGCTCCCCGTGAAGCAGTATGTACCTGCGAGTGCTGGAAAACATCTTTAGCTATGGCGTCCAAGTCCGAGGTGTCCTGGATGTTTCGGACGTAGTCGGCAACAGCTTTGATCACCACATCGCAGGGTGGCAAGACCAGCTGGTGGGCCCGGACCTGAGAAAACACGCAGACACATCGACAGTGGTCAAAACACGCAGAGCTGGGCTGGTCCGCAGGCCGACCCCAAAATTCCCACATGGAGCCACCTTCTGAGACCCAGGCAGTGCTGGATTATCACCCACCTGTAAGAGCTGGGCCCCGTAACCTCCCCAGGTCCTGAGCACCAAGACCCCGGATGCCCTTTTAGTTGATCAAATACAAACAACTCAGCTGCTTAAACCCTGTCAAGTCCAATGTATCTGACACCTTCATCCCTTCTGAGAAGCCCAGGACCAAACCCCATAACCAGCTAGGCACAGACGCCCAGAAACACCCCAAACCCCCGAAGGCATTTGGCGTGGCCATTCCCCCCTTGGGGGTGATTTCTCGCTGTCTCTGTGTCTCTTTCTGGCGAGCGCACATGCCCTATAGCTAAAAACAAACAAACAAACAAACAAACAAACAAAAAAACACAGCAGGGAGAGAACTGACTGGACATCAAATCAGCAGAATACAGGCAGGCTTTCCTCAGAGGCAGGAACTCACAGGGAGGGTGGGGGCCTCCCTCCCAGGGCTCAGCACATCCCCCCAGGACCACAGTGTCCGGGCAGCCATGCCCCAGGCAGCCATGCCCCACCCCCC